AGCCTGAATTTGGGGCTAAAGAGGCCAAAATGTTAACTTTGATGCCCATTAAAAATTGGAACTATGCACGTTTGGCTAAGAGGGCAACCTAGTTGACTAGTGACCCTCTAGTCCAGGGTTAGAGTCCTGCTGATAGGGCTGATACGACAATTGGGTGGGGTCTGGACGAGTAAGGACTTCTAGGATACGACATAATTGCTTTACTAAAATGATGTATTAATGGTGAAGAATGTAAGGTCAAAGTCATGCGTAGAAACACTTATGAATCCGCATTCACTGGGATCCTGCTTTTAAGATTGTCGCTGGGGCCTATGTGTAGTCAAGAGTTGACATGGAAACCTACTTCTAAGATGCAAAATGAAATGAAATTGACGACAATAGCTTCAAGTAGAAGCACTATGTTTGGTAAAATATCATTGTTCCTACCTATCTTTGACGCTTCTTGCAATTTTGTAGTTATACTGCATGCAAAATTTGGCTCTGCAAAGAACAATAGGGTTTCGAGGAATCTATTGTTTCATAATTGTTGGGCTTACTTCCATTTTGAGTGAAAGTGTTTCTTGTGAAGAGCTTCAAAGGTCGATTCCAGCAGAAGACGACAGCGAATTCCTCTAGACCAAGCTTCGATTGGCTTTACTGGAACATTCTTGTTGAAGTTTTTTCCGAGGTAATCTCCTTCGTTTGCTTGAATATGGTTGTATGGATGACATCCTGCTCTGATGATGTTCTTCATACGACTGACAATAGCTCAGCACGCTTTCACCGGAATTGAAGAAGATTACCTCGGAAACAGCGTCAACATGAATGTTCCAGTAAGGCCAATCGACAGCTGGTCGAGAGGAATCCGCCGTCGTCTTCTGGTCGGATCGGACTTCGAATCTCTTCACCAAACACTTTCACTCGAAACGGAAGTAAGCTCAGCAAATATCGCTTCGCCAATAGTGTCTGAAACATTCTCTTAGACTAAGAGTGGAATAAATTTAAAATGCTTAGGGAGAAGAATTGTTATGAATTTTGTGGGTTTACTTTTGATGAAGATATGAAAATTGTTGATAGCAAGGTAAGAATCTAACTCTGATTTCACTGGCTTGAAAAAAACATGCGAGGAAGCTGGCGATTGTTTACCTCTAATGCACTTGTGATTGTTTTATTTGAAGTATCTGATAAGAAATTAAAACAATTAGGCTTTCAACTTCTAAAAAAATTAACGACAAATGGTAACATTTCGTGGCTTATATCATCTGGTCGAATCGATGGATCTACATGTTCTTGTTAAATTTGATCCAGTCTGATAGCGAATATGTATTTTTCCGTAAACTTGAATCCAACTGATAGACAAGACCTTCATGAACCACAACCTTATCAGTAATTTGGTGTTGCGTTTTGTTCCATGTCGCTTGAACCAAATCGTCAAGCCTTGGTTCCATTTCCAGGCCTCCGGATCAACAAAAAATGGCATAATCAACAACATCAACAACTTGTATCATCGCTTTCACTTTACGGCCAGTCTAGTTGGATCCTGGTACATTGATCCGAGTCTAGAAGGATAACTGATGTGACGATCCGGACGGGGTACCTCCCGACCTCCCGGAAGATGCAGCATGTGCAGGCTGGGGTGAGTGCATGCGTCTTTTGGGGTGAAAACAATCGGAATGCCCCACTGGGGATCAAAGTGAAGGCCGTTTTGTCACTGAGGCTGTCCCACCCTCCGACATAACTTTCCAGGGCCCTAGGCCGATATGCAGGAGGCCTGAAGGGGTATTCGCGACGCCTTGACAACAAAGTTAATCAAGCAACCTTCTGCTGGTCCATAAAACATGCAATTTGCGACGTCTTCTCAGCCTGTATTCCACTCAGACTGGTACAGAAATTTAATTACTTAAAATGAAACGTGTTAAAAACCATCTATCCGGGGATGAGGATGGCTGCTGCCCATGAAGCTGCACTCACTTGCTCTCAGACAACACAAGAATGCAGTTCTGTGTCAGCTTTTATGTCTGGCTGTGACAAAAAGAGGAGTATATGAGCTTCTGAAGTGAAAAAGGCCATCGGAGGGGGCTCATTAATTGCTCTTTCCAACTGCTCCGTAGAGGGCACAGAAGACAGATATTTCAGAAGCCATACGGAAGAGCCTAACACAAGAAAGGCTAAAAGGGACTGTCCTAAATTGTGACATTACTTTCTATTTCAAAGGAAATATTGGCTGGAAAGAATTGATGACATGGTCTTACCGGAAACCGGTGGAGGATTGTCGAGAAGTGGAGACTGTTGGATTGTCGGTTCACCGTTCCGTGACTTCGATGAACCGTCTGTCTCGTCGTAACACACATCATCAGAGCAAAATTGTTTTTGCTCTATTTCGTAAAATATGCATTCATAGTTTAACCGAAGCTATGAAGACCAAGATGGTGTGACCGTTTGTGTGATCGCAGTCTTCTTTGACCTTGTTTTCGCAACTTGGTCATGTTGGTAGGAAGACTTAGAGGGACGGACCTAGTCCGGAGTCCATTGTATGCGTCATCATTTCCAGAGTGGGATCGTGAACGTGGTACATTCCCAGACATTTCGCAGGCTTCGTCAGTGAGTCTTGACGTTATCAGCACCGCAAAACAACTCGTCAAAAGAGACAAGTGAAGTGTCGTATCTTTTCTTCTGTCCTGGGCTATTTACCTCTCATACATCCTCGTATCACACCTTTGCAATCACAATTGTTTCCTTCCTTACTTAAATCCAGTGTCATATGTCCTTTTGAGTGGACGTGGGAATGTACCACGTGGGAATGATCATGCATACAATGGACTCCGGACTAAGTGCTTTCTGTTCAGTCCTCCTACCAACATGAGCATATTGCGAAAACAAGGTCAAACAAACTTTATGTATGAATAACTATGCATTTGAAGTGGAAAGTCATGCCACTATCTATCATCAAGGAATTCTTCGAAACCCAGTTTCTCTTGACGCTATTTAAAGCCTGAACAATCGGCTCTGACTAAGATCTGGTACGTCTTCAATCAAACCATTGATATCCTAACACAGTTCGCCTTAACGACAATCAAAGCCAGAGCGTAATACTAGCTTCTGTTGGCTCGTGGGCTCGAGAGCGGACTCGGGCCCAAAGGATGGACGGTTGACGTGTGGAAGGGTCAACCTCTGGATCTCGGATTTGTTCACGACTGGGTTTCGTCTCAGTGGCTGTAGTCAGTCGGGGAAATGTAATGCTTTCCTTATTCCAGACGGTAGTTCAGGGGCCAAGACGTCAAGTAGGCCTAGACCAGAGGTCCCAGCGAACATGGACTTTATGCAAATGAAACTTCACTTTGGCCCGAATGCGTTCCAGCCGATTAGCTTTCGCGTCAAGACGTCGAAATTTGTCCCACTTTTAGGCAAAACTCTTTGTCCAAAGGCTACAGAACGAATGATTATCAATTGCTAAGGCTAGAAAAACAATTCTTTGCCTCATTTCGGAAGTATCCTTCATTCCCGAATACCTGAGCACCGATAAGTGGACTATAATATTCGGTATTTTTCGAATTAAGTATTATTTTTCGTTACTACCAGTAAATCGGTTATAAGATGTATTCACCCAATTTCGTTTAAGGTGATGAAGGACTGGTGGAAGTAAAATTTCCCCACAAATGATATGAGTTGGACTGACGTTTCCATTGAATATTTACATAGCTTTGCGTTCCAAAAAGTTGTTCTCATCTCGGCTGGAGTGGACTGCAGTTTCGACCTCGCATTGGTCTTATCATCACCCTCAGCGGGACTCGAACCGCGACAGTGCAGGACAGTAGCTTGAAACGCCAACCACTCGGCTGCACTGCCACGAGTGCCTTTTGGGTCACAAGGCAAATGTGAATTTTCAAGGAAGGCCAAGCCTTTTTGCCATATCATATGTTTTTAGTGGAATTGTCGATGAAGTAAACGTATGTTTTGCTATAACAATCGACTACTATACTTTATTTTTCGAATTAAGTGTTGTTTTTCGTGACTACCAGTAAATCAGTTATAAGATGTATTTACCCAATTTCGTTTAAGGTGATGAAGGACTGGTAAAAGTAGAATTTTCCCACAAATCATATGAGTTGGACTGACGTTTCCATTGAATATTTACATAGCTTTGCATTACCAAAAGTTGTTCTCATCCAGGCCGCAGTAAACTGCAGTTGCGACCTCGCATTGGTCTTATCAACACCCTCAGCGGGGCTCGTTGGTAAGTAGGGCTTCGAGACTATCAGCATATTATATGAATGAGATGTATTAATTCTATTTGGTTTAGGGTGATGTGTAGACTGGTAGTTGAATTTTCGACGCGCCAAGATCATACACTGCATTGTCATGATTCGAGTCCCGCTGGAGGTGTTGATAGGACATAGGCGAACTCGGAGCTGTAGTCCCTTCTGGATATGAATAACTTCTTGGAAGCAAGGATATGTGAGATTGAATGGAAACGTCATGTCTCTTCACACGCTTGCAAGAAACTTCATCTACCAGAAATACCGAAATATAATGAATACATTTCATATATGATGCTCTGATCTATAGCTCCTAGTATTTGGTGGATGAAAAGGGACATGAATCCCATAGAGAAGTAAACAAAAATCTCGTCAACTTTTATCATGAAAACTTGCGAGGGGAGATTATTGAGATAGTAACTTGAAATTGTATTTTGGCCTGAATACAGAAAACTCTCAAGTGTTTCAATTCCAGCAAAGAAAAAGCCTTGAGGCTTGACATCCGAGAGGATGCGAAATGCCTGAATCTTAATAATTGTTTACATTTCTCCGTCTGTAAAAGATATTGATGAAACAAAAAGAGAAAGTTAGTATCATCGTGAGGTAGGTTTGAAGAGTACTGAGAGCTCCTCAGTACATTTCAACTATCTTTCAACATGCTTAGCATTGGCAGAGTCAATAGTTCTGGTTGTCAGGAGGTGGGTCAAAGTAAAGAAATGTGTTGTCATTTAGTTATAAGAAGGTACCCCTGATGGGTCCATGTATTCAGAGCATGGCATGGACAGAATAAGAGGAAATTCTGCATCCGTTCTCTTTCGACCGATCCTCCTTATCGCCTTCTCTGTCCACCTTTTTCAGCTTTTCTTCCCTCAAGGGTTCGCCTCTGACAAAGACGGGGCTCTCTTTTTCCACAGGGTAAAGATTTGATGAGCTGCTGTTCGAAGGAGAAAGTGGCATTTCGGCTCTAAATGGGAGAAAATAGGAAAAAATTGCCAATAAAATGGTTTCTTTTGCGGAATTTGTCGAGGCCAGCACAAGCACTTGAAATGTTAAGTCCATATAAAGTGTCGGCAATGTAGCTTTAATTATTTGGCCTCTTAAGATGTGCTATACTACTGAATTACTCACTACTTGCAACGCTGGCTCGCCCTAACGAATTGAGTAGCCTGG